TTCTATTCTATTCTATTCTATTCTATTCTATTCTATTCTATTCTATTCTATTCTATTCTATTCCCTTGGGAAGCCGCCGGGTCCTGATCCGGGAAGATGGTTAACTGTCACCTCGCGTTGTCCCCTGGGAACGAGGAACAGCTTTTGCAAAAACATTGGCCCAAGGTGGGCATCGCCCGGCCTGCGCCCCGCTGCTTCAGCGCAGCTTCGAGGAACATCTCCCAGCGCTGCAAAGCTGCCTGAGACCTCTTGTGGGTCTCTCTGCGCCTGAGACAGGAGGAACCCAAAAGGAGATGGGGAGGTGGGCTTCTTTTAAAGAGGAGTGGGGGAGGAGAGAGAGAGAACGCCTGAGCACCCTCACCCAACCACCCAGCTCCGTCCACTCCACAAAGCTTGGCCTATTGACAATCCCGAAGGATTTGCCTCGGGTGGCCTTAAGGAAGGCCCTTTTCCGTCGAAAAGGATAGAACGGCGCAAAGCAGGGCCGGACCGTTGCGCCTTTCCCACGTTCCTCGGGCGGGCTTTCCAAACCTCGTGCGCTGGCCCTCTGGTCCGGCCAGCCATAAATATCTCTCTCTCTCTCTCTCTCTCTCTCTCTCTCTCTCTCACACACACACACACACACACACACACACACACACACACCAATTCTAGACTCGCCTGACTATTTTCTTTCATTCGCTGCCGGGGTCAGAGGGAGGGGGAGAAGCAGAGACGGAAAGAGGGAAGGAAAAGGGGAAGGGGGGAGAGAGAGAGAGAGAGAGAGAGACGCTTGTCCCCTTGAACAAGCCGTGCAGAGCAGCAGAGGAAAAAAAAAAAAAAAACCCACCCCATCGCTTCAAACAAATATTCCAGGAAAAGAAATTAAAGACCTTCTTAATTAGTGCGGCAATTAAGCCTTCTTGGTCGCGTTTTAATCAGCAGAGGCCCCATCAAAGGACAAACAGAGCGATTTGCAGGTCTTTGAATTTTTAAACAGGCGGCCGGATTTTGAGCGGCGTCACTCCTGCGTGACAAACGGGGCGAAGTCGCAAATCATTCCTGCTACCCAGGAATCGGGGAGAAGGGCGGTGGGAAGGGGGGGTGGCCCGGGCACGCTGGGGAGGAGAGGCCGCTGGGGGCGTCTTCATTAAAGGGAAATAATCAAAACCGATTCCCGCTTTTCCTTTCGTCCCCGTCTTGGTTTTTTTGGGGGGGAGGGGGAGGAGGGCTTTGCGCGGAATCCGCGCGGGATCCTAAAGTCGGCGCTGGCGGGTCGAAACATTCGTCGTCGTCCCCTTTGCTAGCCCGGTCGGGATCGGGGCAAGCGGGGAAAAGCAAGCAGGGATTTTGTTCCTTTTTGCAGCTTCAGGATCGCGGCACGTTTTTCTCCCTAAGAAAGAACCGGGGCGCGCGAATCCCTATTCTAGTTCTCCATGTGAACCAAGATTAAACCCAAACAAAACCAAGATTGTTTCTTTCCTCACGTGCAGGCTCCCAATTTTTATCCTCCTCTTTCGGCCGGTTTCCCGTGCTTTGATATCTCCGCGGATTCAGCTTTAAAACGTGACTTGATTAAACGCACGGTTGGAAAAACGGGCCTTTATGAAGGACAAGCGATTTGGGCTGGAATCCATGCAAATTGAAAGGCCGAAAAATGGTTATGTTTTTTTTATTTTCTTTTGTTTTGAAGGGCGCGATTATTTTAGATTAGCTTGCTTAAAACGGAGGCGGTTCCTCGCCATTGAAGAAGGGAATGGAAATCAAAATAACTTATCTGGTTTTAAAGGATTTTTTTTAAAAAAGGAGTTTAAAATGTTTAAAATAAACACCTGAATCTTGCAAAATGATCACTTGCAATTTCTTTCCTGTGGAGTGAACGTTCCTGCAGGGAAGACTCGCTCAACCCAGGCTGAAGGTTCTTAAAAAAAATCCTTAAAAAAAGGATTAAAAAAAAAATCCTTCGTATTTTCCTGACTCCTGCTGAACACAGGTTGTGATTGTTCCTGGAAGAGTTTCGGATTGTTCCGGCCGAGTTTCCTTGCCTAGATCTATCTTCCCTTCACTCCTGGTGGTCTCCCATCCATCAGGCCTGATGTGGCTCAGTCCCCCCTCCCGCCCCGCGGATAACCTGAAATTGTTAGGTCGGTGCAGAATGACAACAAGCCACAAGGCAATCCAGATGGAATGAAGCCTCCACACCAGAGTTAAGTAAGTTTTAACATTTGGGGTATTCTGGATATAATTCTTGATTGACACCCCCGCCCCTTTCCCCCAAACTTACAAAGCCACCAAAATGCTTTAGAGAGGCAGCTTCGCCTTTCTCAGGCTGGCACACAATTCCTCTCCCTTTCTTTGTGACACCATTGAGCGATCTGCCTTTTTCAGGGGAAAAAAATAAAATAAAAATAAAACTGGACGAAAAACAGTCGAGTTGTTTCTTAATATCTTTCCACCTCCCCAACCAATTTGTCTCCAAGGGTGCACCACACTGATTGCGACATTAATTATTTCAGAGTGGGGGGGCCGGGGGAGAAATCTTTACTTCCTACTGTGGCTTTTTCCTGCGCATCGTTCTGGCTGCACTCGGATGGCGAGCTGGCCGGAGCAGTCTGGCGCATGTGCAGCTCACCGTTGGGGGCTGGGGGGGCGCGTGGGGGGGGGGGGGGAGAGAGGGCCTCCTTATTTCCACGCGGGGAGGCTCAGTCGCTGGACCGTGGACGAGCGCAAAGGAGAGAGTTCTGAGAGCGAAAGGGCCGCCACTGATCAGGCGCAAGAAACTGGTCCTTTTTTTTCCCCTTGGCTTTGTGGTTGTGACTTCTTACAGGGAGGGATAATGAGATACCCACGCTGGGAGAAAGCGGAAAGGATGTCTATTTTCCTGCTCACCAACTTTCCAGAAAGCGTCGAGTTTCCTAAAAAGTCCAGTTCATTCATTTGCTACCTTTCTCCAACGAGATCCAGATCTGTTTCCACAACGCGCTTAGGATCTTAACGCGAGCCTTGCTCGCTCCGTCCAAGAGAGAAGAAGGCAGACGGTTTTTTTGCGCTCAGGGAGAAAGGAAAGGAGCCTCTCGTTCACGCTGCACGCTGCCCCCTCCCCTCTCCACCCCAGCAACGGTTAGGAAAAGAGTTACACAAGCATCCTTTCCAGAAGTGAATCTGTGGGGTGGCGGGGGTGGTGGTGGCGGGGAAGGATTCGGAGCAAAGGCTGAAGCCGGGAAGAGAAAACTTCCCAAAGGAAATCGCACGAGGAGCATCCCATTCCTGGGAGAAAAAAAACAAAAAAACACGAACTCTTCCCGGAGCGCAAAAGCAAGGATGGCGCTTTCTCAGCTTTGAGCGGCGTCGCTGCTCTCCCACCCGCCCTCCACTCGTCCCCACGTGCGGCGAAGTTTCTGCCGCTGGCGGGGTGGAGGGGGGTTGGAAGGAGGTGAGGGATGGGGGCAAAGCCTGGAGCCTGCCGGTTCGCTCGCACGAGCGGAGTGAGTGGGTGGGTGGGAAGGGAAAGGAGAGGCCGCGCTGCTGCCTGCAAGTGAAAGTGACACGCCTCCCCCCTCCCTCCCCGGGGGAAAAGTGAAAGGCCTCCTCCCTTAAGCAGCCCCCGCGTGCGCGCATCGGGACTCCAAGGGTGGGGGGTGGACAGCTGCCAACTCTCTCTCTCTCTCTCTCTCTCTCTGTGTGTGTGTGTGTGTGTGTGTGCGTGCGCGCGCGTGTGTGTGTGGTGTGGAGGGTAATTCCGGCTATCTCTGGCCTCCGCTCGGTTTTAAAGTCGCTTGGCCCGTTCCCAAGTCGCAAGCGCGCGCTGGCCGGGAGACGCGGCGCTGGGTGGCAGCTCGGTGGCCGGGGAGGCGGATCTTTCTCTCTTAAGCCGGGAGGGGAGGAAGGGACAAGAGGAGGGACGGGACGGGACAGGGGGCGGGAGGAGGTCCCTCGCCTTCTTCCACCGCCCACCGGACCCTTTTCTTCCCAAGGGGGACCCTGGATAGCAGCTCGGGAGCCGGGTGGCCCTGCCCAGCGGGGTCCCATCAGGAACTTCCCGAGGACAACCCCCCCCCCCGCCCCAAGCACAGCCCTCCCGGTCTTTCAAAGAGGGAGGGAGAAGCGGGAGGAGCAAATTGCCGGCCCCGCCCCGCTGCCCAGAAGGAGGGGCGCCACAGTCCAACCCCCCCACCTTCTCTGCCCCCCCCCGGGCCATTACGCGGCTCGGGGCTGGCTGGGCAAAGCGGCCCCGCCAGAGACCCTCCCGCTCCACCCCCACCCCACCTCCAGATTGGCCTCCGCAAGCGCCCCGAGCCGGGCGGAGGGTAGGTGGGTGGGTGGGTGGGGGAGGAGGAGGAGGAGGAAGAGAGACTCCGGCTGGGCTTGAAGGGGCTTCGCAAGTTGCGGAGCTCCGCCCCCGTCGCTCTTGCACCGAGTGACAACAACAGCAACGCGCGCCGCGGCCGGAGGGAGAGCCGGGCGGGCGGGCAGAGCGCGCGGGGCGCGGCGAGAGGGTGGACCGGAGCCGCAGCCGCAGCAGCCGCCGGAGCCGCAGAGCTCGGAGCGGGTCCCGCCAGGCGGCAGCAGCAGCAGCAGCAGCAGCAGCACCAACAGCAGCAGCAGCAGCAGCCGGTGCTCGGCTCAAGTTGGCGCGGACCGCGGCGGGGCAGCGCCCGGAGCGCCCCTCGCCTTAACCCGGCTCCTCTGATGTGACCATGGCGATGCCGGCGCCGCTCATCCCCGCCGCGCAGCCGGCGCCCCCTCTGCCGCCGCCCCCCGCGCCCCCGGCAGCCGCCCCCTCCCCGCCGCCCGCCCCGACCGCTCCGGCCGCCCCCGCCGCCGCCCCCACCACCGTCCCCGGCCTCTTCCGCCCGGAGCCCGGCGCGGCTGCCGCTGCCGCTGCCGCTGCCGCTGCTGCTGCGGCGGCGGCATCGGCTTCAGGAGGTGCGGAGGGCAGTTCGCCTCCGGCTCCGGCTCCGGTTCCCGTGCCGTGTCCGGGCGCGGCAGGCGGCGTCCCGCCGACGCCTTCGGGCAAACCGGTCTACTCGACGCCTTCGCCGGTGGAGAACACGCCGCAGAACAACGAGTGCAAGATGGTGGAGCTGCGCGGCGCCCAGTTGGCCTCCTTCTCGGTGGAGGGCTGCGAGCTGATCTGCCTGCCTCAGGCCTTCGACCTCTTCCTCAAGCACCTGGTGGGCGGCTTGCACACGGTCTACACCAAGCTCAAGCGCCTGGAGATCACGCCGGTGGTCTGCAACGTGGAGCAGGTGCGCATCCTGCGCGGCTTGGGGGCCATCCAGCCCGGCGTCAACCGGTGCAAACTCATCTCCAGGAGGGACTTCGAGACGCTCTACAACGACTGCACCAACGCCAGGTGAGCGCCGCGGGCAGGAGCAGCTCCCGTGTGGGGAGGGTGGGGGGGAGAGAGAGGAGGGGCCGGTCTGCGTGTGAGTGTGTGTGTGTGTGTGTGTGTGTGTCTGTGTCGGGGTGCCCGGGAATCCCGCGCCTTCGTTTCGCGAGGCGGGCCTCGTCCCGCGCGCTGCAAAGTTGGGGAGAGTCGCCGGGCTCGGGGGTCTTTGGGCTCCTCGGAAGGAGAGGCGGCATTCGAAAGCCCTCGCTGCAAGGAAGAGAGAGGGAGAAGGAAGGAAGGAAGGAAGGAAGGAAGGATGGAAGGAGAAATAAAGAGAAAGGAGGGAAGGAAAAAGAAAGAAAAAGAAAAAAGAAAGAGAAAAAAAGAAAGAAAGAAAGAAAGAAAGAAAGAAAGAAAGAAAGAAAGGTCGGAGGTGGGATGGGGAGGCTGTGGAAAAGTTCCGCGTCCAGTTCCGAGTTTTTGAAGTCTTTTTGAAGTTTTCATCCTTGGCGCCGTGGATCCCTTCAAAGTCTTTCCAAACCGCCCCCGCGCCTGTTTTCCCTTTTAGACTGATTCCTCCTTTCTCGGGCTACGTGGGTCGCCAGATTGGACGGGGTCCCTCCCGGAGGATTCTCCGCCGGAGCTGAGCGCGGGTCTCTCCGCCTCCCGGTACCCCGAAAGGGTCTACTACACGCGCGGCGGCCAGTTCAAGAGTAACTTAGATGGAACCGGCGCCTTTTCAGACGGGACGAAGCGTTCCCGCTTGCAGCTTCGCCCCGCGGGTGTCGAAAGACACAGCCTCGACCCATTTCTATTATTATTTTGAGCAGGGTTTTTTGGCGGGGCGGAGGGGGGGGGCGAGGGAAACGAGGCATAACTCAGGAATGGGATAAGTATAAATCTCTTTGCTGTAGTTTTATCACGCGTGTCAGCCGGTAGCGATGTCTTGCAAAGCCTCCAACATCCTGAAAAGTCTCTCTAAGGATCCTCACGGTGGGGTTTCTCACCCAAATCCGGACAAAGGGCTAGGATAGAATGTGTAGGGCATGGAACAGGGCAGGGGTAGTTTGAGAACTGCTGAGGGGGTCAAGAAGGGGACAGAAATAACTTGCACTACTGTCTGGGTTTGATTTAAGGAAACATGGGGTCAAAAGGACTGCCTGCCCAGATCTGTAATCTTTTGCTCAGTCTCTGCCTAAAACCCACGCTAATTGGCTGTTTAAATCAGAGTCGTGAGAATTGTAATCTGTGTAAGGTTGAGAAATATAACTGCATAACCCTCCTTGGGCACCTAGAGAGAGAGGGGCTGTAAAATTGGAATGGGAGATTTTCCATAGGTCTGGCTTTTCACAGAGGTCAGCAAGACAGCTTTTGAGAGTTCACGGTTTTAATAAAGATTTAAATAATAAATAATTCCTGGACATGAGGATTCCCCCCCTCCCCCCTTATGAATTAGTTAAAGGGCTTTATAACATATAAAAGTTCTCGCATTTATATCCTGTTGGTGTTACTTGGCTCCAAAAAGTTACACAGATTTTATATTACCCTGTTAAGAGAATGAATGACAAAGTTGATTCCAGCCTTGTCTTAAACTGAGTTGTTTGTAAGGGATGCTTAATATAAGCGCCGATATATTCAGATGTCACATACAGCCAGGTAGAGAAGCCTCTTCCTGGTTTATTTTCAATTTAACTTGTTTGAAAATTGAGCAGCGATTTGAGTTTGGCTCTGATGTATCTTCCTCTGTCTTGACCAAGTAAAATTATAAGAGGAGGAAAAAAAAAAGAAAAAGAAACAGAACTTGGAATAAGAGCAGAGTAGGCCTTGCATGGCCATCTTTAATTAACTGAATTACTTAAGGTGAACAAAGAGTAAGAAAGCTCATTTGCAAAGGCAGATGTGGATTTGTTTTTAGGCAATTATTATTATTATTATTTAAATAAGTATATAGGATGACTCTTTTCCCCTTATTACTTGATGGCTAAAAACTCTGCAGTCCTCGTGAAAAACTTTTTGGAACAAAAGTATCTCGACACCTGTTTCTCTGGTTCCAGAACAGGTAAATTAGGAAAAAGGGGACACTGATACTGGCAACCATTTGAAAGTTGTGGCTCTTGGGAAGGGAACCCTTTGGCCACCTTCAAGCAGAGTAGGTGGGCATCCACCCATCGCTCAGGGAAGCCTGAAAATGTCATTTCTGCAATGGGGTGGCTGGTCTTCATTGTCTCAGGGGAGCCCCTTCCATCCCTGTGCTTTCCTGCTCTTTTGCTGCCTTAGGCTTAGTGGGAGGGGAATCTAGCCTGTTTTTCCCACCACCAAACTTTTCAGTAGAGTTCCCCCTGATTATTCTGATGTCCTTTGTATATGTAATTCACCAGCCAGAAGTGTGTTCAGTAACTGTGCAAAGATGAGAGAGAGAGAGAGGGAGAGAGGGAGAGAAAGAGAGAAAGAGAGAGGGAGAGAGAGAGAGAGAGAGAGAGAGAGAGAGAGAGAGAGAAGCCAACGGGAGGGGTGTGTGTCTCGGTGGGCTCCATCCTGACAGAACGGTCCATACTTGGGGGAATTGTAGTGCCTGAGAAGGTTATCCAGTCCCTGTTTGAAAGCCTTCAGTGATGGAGCCCTCACAACCTCTGAAGACAAGCTGTTCCGTTGGTTCATTGTTCTCACGGTTCTGAATTCCCAACCCCCTTAGTTCTAGGTTGCTTCTCTCCTTGGTTGATTTTCCAACCAAAGGAGGATCTTCTTTTTCTTGAGGCAACAAAATGTTTTAAAATTGGAATTGAAGGCTGTGGGTGATGGGGATTTGTGATGGGAGAAGGGTTAATTACTTCAAAACAAAAGAAGCCGCATTCGTGGGATTCACAGGAGGGTTGAACTGGGACACTGGCTCTTCCTGCCCTGTTCTTTCTTTCTTTCTTTCTTTCTTTCTTTCTTTCTTTCTTTCTTTCTTTCTTTCTTTCTTTCTTTCTTTCTTTCT